GTAAAAATACCACAACTTTTTTTATCCATTCCTCAGTTGATGGACACTTAGGTTGTTTCCAAGATCTGGCTATTACACATTGTGCTGCTATAAACACGGGTGCACATATATCACTGAGGTATGATGTTTTCAGTTCTTCTGGGAATATGCCTAGAAGTGGAATAGCTGGGTTGAATGGGACTGCCAATCTCAGCTTTTTGAGTAATCTCTAGACTGACTTCCACAGTGGTTGCAACAATCTACATACACTCCCACCAACAGTGCAGGAGAGTTCCTTTTTCCCCACAGCCTCTCCAGCATTTGTTGTTGGTAGTTTTCTTTATCCTGGCCATTCTTTCTGGAGTGAGATGGAACCTCACTATTGTTTTAATTTGCATTTCTCTAAGACCAGTGATGATGAACATTTTTTTCATGTATTTATTAGCCATTTGTATTTCTTCATCTGAGAACTGTGTATTCATCTCAGGTACCCATTTTTGGATTGGGTCTTTGAATTTCGGGGGTCTCGTTTTTTTTAATTCTTTATATGCTTTAGACAGAAGTCCTTTGACTGAGGGACAGTTCACTAAGATTTTTTTCCCAGTTTGTGGGTTTTCTTTTCACTATGCTGGAGATATCTTTTGACGTGCAGAAACTTTTAAAAAAAATTTTATTTAAGGGGCTGGAGATTTAGCTCAGCGGCATAAGCGCCTGCCTTGCAAGCAGGCAGTCGTGAGTTCGATCCCCGGTACCGATACAAAGGAAAAAGACAAAAAACAAAACAAAAAAAATTTTATTTAAGGAGAAAAATTTTTAAAAAAACAGAAAAAGGGTACAAGTTATACAGAATTGCAAAAAAAAAACCAGTAGGAAATCACTAGTTAATACATTACATATTATCATCTTAGAAATAGTTGTTCAAGTTACAAAATCAAAGCATATAAAGTAGACATTCAGACAATGAGACTGCAAACAGTTCAATGATCCAACAAAAACTCAGTAATATGGTTATCTATCTTATACGCTTAAATATACATGCAGTTATATCCTTTAGAGCACTTTCTTTTCCTCTCTTTTTTACAATGACAATTACACATTTTGGGTTTTATTACTCCCACAGCTCTTATCACTTTTTTTTTGAAGAGAATAAAACCAAATGTGACATAACAAAACAGAGTCAGTCAAATCAAAAGGATGGACATAGTACATAATGTAAAAACAGAAAACGAGGTGATCAACAATGGTTACCATAATGCCTCTTGCTAACCTTAAAAAGAATTGCCTATATCATTAATTGTAATAAAATTGAAAAAAACAGAAAGAACAAAACCAATAAAACCAAAACATTGGAGACATTAGTGGACTTCAAAAGAAGATAATAGTCAAACCAGAATGGGCATCTTAATGAATCTTATTGTTTTCACAGTTGTGGCCTATACTCTCAAAGTTGGTACTATCAAGCAAAACAGAATAGAGTAAAATCAGTCAAAACAAGATTGTGAGAGCAATACAGGGTTTCAAATCAATAGGAAATCAAAGTGAGTTACTATAATATATTCTGCTATTTTTTAATTTATTTTTCCCTTAATTAAAAAGATAAAAATAAAAATAAATAATAAAAAGGAGATCAAGATAAAAGAGGACATAACAACAAAACAGTACAGGTCAGAACATAACCATTTAAGCAAAATAGTGTTTCACCACAAGATATCCTGACATAAAAGTAGTTACCATAGTGTCTCTTTCCTTGAAATCTTTAAGTATAACTTTGTATACTGTAGCATCAAACACATCAAGACAATGTAAAACCATTCAAGAGAATGACAGTATTACAGGGTATTTACAACCAATGAACCAGAAAATGAACAATGGTTTCTGTATAATCTCCTTGTCTGTAAAAGTTTTTGTTTATATTATCAGTTATAATAAAATGCAATAAGATACAAAATATTAAGACCAATGGAGACAGAAGAACAAAATCTTGATGGGACTTCAAAACAAGATGATATTAAATCAGCACTAACTATTATGATGTCTTGTTTTCTCCAAAATAGCTGTTCCTACCATCCAACCTTCTCTGCCTCATTTCTGTTGAGCTCTTTTTCTGTCATTAGTTGTCTGTTTGTCTTCTTCATTTCGCTTTCTGCTCCATTCATTGTGGCCTGTCTGCCACTGTTTCTGGAATGTTGGTATTTTTCTCTTTTAGAATGTCCTTCAGTATTCTCTGTAGAGTTGAATTGGTGGTTGCAAATTCCCCTAGTTCCTCTTTATCCTGGAAGCATCTTGTTTCTCCATTAATTTCTAGGGACAGTTGTGCAGGACATATCAATCTTGGCTGGAGGTTATTGTCTTTCAAAGCTTGAATTATTTCCCCCCCACACTCTTCGTGATTTGATGGTTTGTGCTGAGAAGTCTGCTGTAATTCTGATGGGTGTTCCCTTGTAAGTGATCTGTTTCTTGTCTCTGACAGCTTTTAATATTTTGTTCTTATATTGGATTTCTGGCATTTTGATTATTATATGCCTGGGTGTAGTTCTGTTTGGGTTGTAGGTGGCTGGGGTCCTGTATGCCTCATACATCTGAGTATCTTTACCTTTTCCCATATTAGGGAAGTTCTTGATTATTTCTGTGAATAGCCTTTGCAGTTCATTTGTTTGTATCCCTGCTTCTTCCTGTATATTCTTACTTCTTAAGTTATAGATCCTCTTATCATTGTCTAGCCTTTGTATCGTTACTGCTCGTTTCCTTGTTATTTTTAAGAAGTTTTTCCTTTCATGCCCCCACATTACAAATGTGTCCTCCAGTTCAGATAATCTATCCTTGTTTCTTTCAAACTGTTATGCCAGCTTTCAATAGGGTTTTTAGTTTCCTGGTCATCTCTTTGAACCTGCTTCATGTATTCTACTTTTTCTCTATTTTCTCCATCAAACAATTCTCCCCTTTTTTTCTGTTCTTCCATTCCACCATCTGCTTTTTCTTGGGAAGTGCTTAGCATTTCTTTAACTATTCTACTTATGTCTTGCTTTACTTGGTTAAATACTTCACTTTTGAACTTGTCTATGAGGTCCCAGAGATATCGCTTTATGTCTATTGGTGCCGTGCATGATATTGCATGTTTTCTGTCCTCATTCTCCTTTGCATTTACCTTTCCTGGATCAGTGTTCTCAGGATTGGGGGATGAGGACCCTTTCTTTTTGCTCCCTCTTCCCATACTTTTTGTTTCTTCCATACAAGCGTATATAGGAGGCCCGGTTCCTTTCTTTGTCAGTTATAGTTTGTTTGAATCACACCTGCTAGGTGTTCTTACCCACTGCAGTGTACTAGGGAGACACAGACCTGGGCAGCCTATGCTGGGCCCACCCCTCCAGGTCAGTCAACCTGCTGAAGGCTTCATTGCATTAGGGTGCACTTCCAGGTACAGGCACCTGGTTTGGGCTAGTCTACTGGGTCTTAGTCTGTGGCGTCACCCAGATCAATCACTCTCCACCAATCTCACTTGAGAGGGGAATATGTGATGAAGTCACTGCACTATCATGTCCTGGCTAGTCTGCCCCGCCCCAGAATATCCTCTGTTGAAGCCTCCTAGTCTATGGAAGGGTCCCTGTTCCTCTAACTCACAGCAGGTCAATGCCTGCAGCTCCCTGCCAGCTCTGCTCTCAATTCGGTTTGCTGATTCTCACTCTCAGAGCTTTTGCATCTCTATCCCTGTTGTGTGGATTCAGATGCAGCAGCAGTGGCAGGAAATTCTAGCTGCGGTTTCCAGAGGCATGGGTTCCAGCTTAAGCACTGAGGCTTTATCTGTTCTGGTCGTAGCACTGGGATTGCATTTCCAGTTGGTTTCTCTCAGCTTAGTTCATTCCTGGGTTAGCAGGGTATATCTTCCCCTGCTTAGGACTGCCCACACTGCACCATTCCTGGAATCTAAGCTGGCTATCTCAGAGAGCCTCCATAGCTGCTGTTATCTATCTATCATGTTCTCCCAACATGCAGAAACTTTTTGATAAGATGTGATCCCAGTTATTGATTCTGGGAAGTATTTCCCGTGCAGTTTGATTTCTGTTCAGGAATTCCCTAACTACCCCTATGTCTTCAAGAGTTTTACCTAATTTGTCTTCCAACAGATTTAGTGTTTCTGTTTTAATATTCAGGTCTTTGATCTATATAGATTTTAGTTTAGTACATGGTGATAGGCATGGGTCTAGTTTTAGTTTTCGGCATATGGAAAGCCAGTTTTTCCAGCACCATTTATTAAAGAGACTGTCATTCTTCCATTGAACATGTTTGGCCCCTTTATCAAAGATAAGATGGTTGAGTGTGTTTGTAGCTGTGGTTGTATCTTCAAATCCATTCTATTGTTCTTCAGATCTGTTTTTATTCCAGTACCATGTTGATTTTATTACAGTAGCTTTGTGGTATAACTTCAAGTCATGGATTGTGATGCCTCCGGCCTTGCCTTTGCTGCTTAGAATTGTCTTTGCTATTCTAGGTCTCTTCTGGTTCCAAATGAATTTTAGGAGTAATTCCTCTCCATCTATGAGGTATGTTGATGGTATTTTCATTGGGATCTGTATAACAGTTTTGAGAGAATGGCCATTTTCACTATATTTATTCTTCCTATCCATGAACAAGGGATGTCCTTCCATTTTCTGAGATCCTCTTTGATTTCTTTTTCAGGGTATTATAATTTTCTCTGTATAGATCTTTTACTTTTTTTGTGAGGTTAATTCTTAAGTATTCATATTTTGGGATGTTAGTGTGAAGGGTGTGGCTTCTCTTATTTCTCTCTCAGTGATCTTGTTGTTAGTGTATAGAAATGCTATTGATTTTTGAGTATTGACTTTGTATCCAGCTACATTACTGAATTTATTTATTATATCTAGGCATCTTTCAATGGAGTTTTGGGGGTCTTCTATGTAAAGTATCAGGTCATCTGCAAACAATGATAATTTAACTTCCTCTTTTCCTATCTTTACACCTTTTATTTCTCTCTCTTGTCTAATTGCTCTGGCTAGTATTTCCAGAAAAATATGGAATGCTTCATGAATTTGTGCATCATCCTTGTGCAGGGGCCATGCTAATCTCTGCATCATTCCAATTTTAGTATATGTGCTGCCGAAGCGAGCACCTGAATTTTTAAAAATACAGTATGTGTGTGACTTGAAGATTGAGACCTAGAAATGGAAAATGCCAGTCATAGATACCACAGCCTCAGTTTTACTAGGTATTGTTTATTTTTCCCCTCTATAGTCCCACTAACCCTTGTTACCACTAATTAGCCAACACTGAAATATATTTACTTCTACATAGTCACTACATAATCTCACTGAGTAGCTAGCTTCATTTATTTTCATGCTTATTGGTTATTTAGGCTTTTCTCCATAAAGTATCAGATCATATCTTTGCCTGTTTGTTTAGTGTTGTTTCCCTTGACTGGAGTAATATTTTATGAACACCAATCCTTTGTCAATCTTATGCCTTACAGATAACCTCCTCCTAGCCTGTCTAGTCTTTGCATCTTCTTTGTGTTGTTTTCTTATTGAAAAAACTTAAATTATGATCAGCCACAAGCAAACAAAAGTCTGTCTTGTCCAGAGACCATGAATACTTGTCCCCGCCAACGAAGATGAGCCTAGAGCTCCACTCCAATCTTTGCAAAGCTTTTATTTTTTATTTTTGAGACAGGGTCTAGCTGAATCGCCAAGGCTGGACTTGAGCTCTTTATGGCCCTGCCTCAGCCTTCCAGAGTGCTGGAATTACAGGCGTGGGCCACCCAGCCTGGGTGGAGCTATTATCTTATATTTTCTAAAGCATTAGAATTCTTTGTCTTACCTTTATTTTGTTTTCAATTCTACCTTCCTATATGAAGCCTAGACTGTTAGATTGAACACTGCACACCGGTTCCGTGGTTATGCCCTGACCTCTCTCACACCCCATCCCCACGCAGTGCTGGCTTCTGTCCTTCTGCCCTCAGCCCTTCACTTCACTCGTGCTCAGTCAAAAGCAAGCAAAAACCTGTTTGCTTATTTCTGGGCTGCACTGTTGTAATAACCCTGACTCTAGACCTTAGATAACTGTTAGGGCAAATCTTCATTTTCTTTAAAAGGAATGAAATCATTGTGCCTTTTTGGTGACCTTTTTTCTTTTTAAATGACTTGGAATTCAAATTATCAAATTTTATGAAAAGTGTGTATTTTAAGAGATTATACTTGATTTTTAGATTGATTTGGGGATAATTACCAGTTTTATAACATCAGTTCATCACATCTATGAACATAGCACTCTCTTTACTTTTCTGAGTTGTATTCTTTGCATGTGTATGTGGTACTGAGGATGGAACCCAGGGCCTTGAGTACACTAAACGTACACTCTGCCACTGAGGTACACTCCTATCTCTTAGTCTTTTTATGCATATATTTGCTAGCACCTCAGTTTTGTTATGTTGTAAAGTATATACTTTTTATTTTGTTTGGTTGTGAGACAGGGGTTCACTATGCGATTTGGGCTGGCCTTAAACTCACAGTGATCCTCCTGCCTCAGCCTCCCAAGTGCTGGGATTACAGATGAGCACCATTACATCCAGCTTGCTGGTATACAGAAATGCTCCTGATTTTTAAAAATATTGATCTTATAGCCAACCATCTCGGTAAACTCACATTAATTCCATTAATACTTCAAAGAAATTTTTTGACTTTTCTAGATAGCTAGTTAGTTCAGTTGTGGATAATATCACTTTATTTCCTTTCCTGGCCTTGTGTCTTTTCTTTTTCATGCCTTATTATGAGCTCTAGGACCTTTAGTACTATATTGAAAAGACCAGTGGGTTTGGTCTTGATTACAAAGAGAAGGTTTCTAATATTTCACCATTGAGTATGGTGTTTGTTATAGGTTTTTAAAAAATAGCCTTTTCTGGGTTAAGAAAATGTCTTTATAGTTCTAGTTTGTTCAGAGTTTTTACTTTGAATAGTGTTTGCTTTAAGAGTGAGAGTCATGACAGGGGTTTAGCTCAGTGGTCCGAGCGCTTGCCTGGTAAAACTAAGATCATGAGTTCAATCCTCAGTACAAAAAAAAAAAGTCATTAGAAAGTAGTTGGGCATGGTGGTGCACACCTGTAATCCCAGCATCCAAAAGGCTGAGGCAGGAGGATCATCTTAAGTTTGATGCCAATCTGAACTACATAGCAAGACCCTGTTTCAAACATTGCCCCCAAAAGAGACCATCTAGTCTGACTTCATCATCTTGTAGTAGAAGAAACTAGAACTCAGAGAAAGAAACTCATGTTTCTAAAATTATACAAAGTTAGACACAGACTTGGGGACAAAAGACTTTGCAAAAACACTTCTACAACCTTATAGGGTACTGCTTACTGCGTCCATTTTATCTACAGGCTGACCGAGATCGAGAAAGATTACATCATGAATCACGTGACCTAGCAGAGCTGGGACTAGAAGCCAGCCTTTGGATTCCAAGACCAGGACCCCTTACAGAATTTCTTTTGTTCAGTGCCCCACCCCACTGATGCATGGGCTTATTAGCCTGAAATAGAAGGGTCCCTGAACCATAGATTCAAAATTATGATCTATAAGACTCCAGCAATATTGTTGCAGGCATGTCAGAGAAAAGCCCGGTTTGCGATAGTGCCCATGGGCTTTGTGATGCCTATGAGTCCTTGGTGCTGGTGACAGCCCTGAGACCAGGGCACAAGGCCATGGGCTCTAAGAGTGCTCTCTGGTGCTGAAATGATCCCTGACATAATCCTGGTTAACAAGATCAGAACATGAAGTCTTTAAGAGCCTGCCTTCATGTCCCCACAAAAGGGGCTCTGCTTTCGCTCCGGACCCCTCCCCCAACTGGTGGCCCTTCCTCCCCTCCCCCAAATCTCTTAGTGAGCTGCTTCCTCACCACCTTGTTTTGCCTGTGCTATTTGTGTCTGCTTCTAACAGCTGGCCCCAGCCTGGCAGCCCCTAGCTCTGAAGATTATCCAATTATCCCATTAGCTCAGCATGTCCTTCCTTCCTCCAGAGCTATTAGCTCCTCCATCTCCCTCTCCTTCTTGCTCTTCTTGGGCTTGGACAAGCCTGGAGCCTCCTTTGCTCCTTCCCTAGCCAGGCATAGGCTGGGTCAGTCCTCAGTCATTGAGATGCAGGATACCAGAGCTGGAAGGGATTTATGCATTTGTCCTTCTGCGGAGAAAGAAACTTGCCTACGATAGCCCAAGTTACATGTTTGCTGTCATTATAGCAGACAGCAGAGCCCAAATCACAGCCATGTCCTTCTCAGCACATCCAGGTCCAGTCAGTGTGCCTTACCCAGCGCTCTCTAGCAGCGGCCCCAGGAGAGGGAAATATATCCCCATCCCATTCTCTGGACTCTGGTTGAGATCAGAATTTATGATCTGAGTAGGGGAAGAGAACATGCACTGGTGAAAATCATATTTCCTAGGAACTAAGACATAGTTTAGTGGCGCAAGAGATGTTACTGGATGCAGGTAACAGATATCCATGGCAGCTAAGGGTCAGGGGGTGTCATGAGTGCAAACAGAGCTCAGAGCCCGGGCAAGGCTTTCTCCAGAGGCATCAGGGGGCTCCTGCATCTTCATGGAGGAGATAGCCCTTCAGTTAGTCCCCAAAACACGGGTCCTGTTTGAAGTAAAGCAGACTCAGAGGGACGGCATCCTAGGCAAAGAGGCCTACCTGAAAGGCAGAGGCAGGAACTGGGTTAAGAGAACGGTGGACACTTTGATTTGGTTCAGCCAGCGTGGATGTCTCACTTTCTTATCACTGAGACACAACACCAGGCACCCACCACTGTAAGGAAGAAAGGTTTCCTTAGGCTCACATTTTGTAGAGGTCTCAGTCCATAGTCGACTGGCTCTAAGGCAGGGTGGCATAGGCAGAGGAGCATCACAGAGAAGAAACAGTTCATGGTGTGGCAGCGGGAAGCAGAGGAGATCAAGGGAGGAGGGAGAGAGACAGACCTTCCAGGCCATGCCCCCAGCAACCCGCCTCCTCCACCCAGGCTTCACACTGAGTTATAAACTCATCAGTGAGCCAATGCACTGATTGAGCCAATCGCTGATACTAACAAGTATCAGGCACCCATGATCTAGTTACCACCCAAAAGCCTCCCCAAAAGTGTGCATGATGCTTTAGGGAGACATCTGAACATTAACCCTAACAGTGGGATAGCTCAGAGATAAGGCAGAGATTAAAGCTGTGTTCCACTGAATGCGCATCTCAGAGAGTATAGACTTGATCTGAAATGTTCAGGATCTATCCGTGTTCTGGAGAAGAGAGGGACACAGTTAAAGCAGGACTTTAGAAAGGTTCACCTAACGGGGCTGAATACATGATGGTAAAAGAAACAACTACAAGCCAGGCATGAGGCACACGGCTGCAATCCTAGCACTTGTGAGGCTAATAAGGCAGGAGGATCACAGAGTTCTAGGCCAGCCCCGACTACATAATGAGACCCTGTGGGTGGAAGGAGACAGAGAGAGACGCACCCAGAGACACAGAGAGGTCAGTCTGGAGTTTATCCACATATAGTCAGGGCTTACAAGGAGAACAGTTACATACAGGACACAGAATTTATACTATCATTTTATAATGGTCACCCAGAGTTACGTACAAGAAAGTGCAGGAAAACTTTCCACAATACCAAAGATCTAGAAAATCCAGCTGAGGGCCTGGATCCCACAACAATGTCGTGCATGAGTCCAGTTGAAAACCTAGAGCCCATGACAATGCCTCCCATGGGTCCAACCTAAAGCCCATGACAATGACTCAAGCAAGTCAGTTTTATGGATCTGTACCGGGAAGGCCCAAAGGTCAGTAGTGGAAGCTAGAAAGTCTCTGCCAGTGGGTGAAGAGTTTGCACTAGCAGGTTGAGAGTTCTACACTGGAGCCAAGATGTGACACTCAAATTAAGGACCAGGGCTGCCCTGAAAAGTACCACAGCCATCCTCAGTCACAGTAGGGTCCGAGCTCCTCTAATGATGAGAACAGTCAGGTACCTGTCAGGAAGCCAGTGTGACAAGCATCTCCTGGAGATTAAACAGCACACATCTTCCCCTCCGGAGCCAGGAAGTGATGCTCAATGTAAGGAGCAGAGTTCCCCGACAGCCAC